GCACCATCCAAGAGAGCAGGTTTTGACTTACATTTACTATATAGCGAACTGCCCATCTCTCTTCATTACTGTAGAATTACGGTCGGAACTTTGAAGGGGGTTTTAACTCGTGGTGGCCACATATTTGGCCAGAACAGGTACTCGACGAGCTGAAAACTCTATCCATCAGGCTAGATTAGACAGAGTTGCTGATTATTAATATGAAATCCGCGCTATATCTTAAGCCCTTTTCTCGCATGTTAGCCGAGTAAATCGCAACGACGTTTTTTCGGTGTTTTTCAAAAACTGATTGGACCATTTAAAAGTCTTGAAAACTCATGGATATAGCTGTATGATGAAGCCAGCATGTCTTAAAACACTGCTAGACAACTTTACAGATTTTTTTGGAACTTTATGTCTGAACGGCCTATTTCACAGTGACACCGCATGCTGGAACTTCCCATTGTCCACAATAATAAAGAGGGATGAACAACTCACTTCTTACTGTAAATCTAAGTTGAAGCCTCCTCTACTGAATGGTTCTTAGAACAAGGGAAAGACTTATTGTTAGTGAGAAGAGATTTGTTAACGATCAAAAAGTGTGTACTTACATTTTGGGCACCCTGTATAATATCAGATCTGCCGGTAACGCTACCTTCTAAGATCATTAGGTTATACGGTAAATGGCACCGTATACCGTATAACCTAATGTGATCATAAAAGGTAGCGTTACCGGCAGATCTTTACGAATGTACCATTAATTATGCGTCAAAAATTCCAATTTGCGGTTTCTTCGGGAGCTATCGATTATATAATTGCAGTCAGGATGCTGAAAGACCCCTAACAAACTTTTGAGAATTGAAGTATTCCACCTACAATACGCCCTCGTGATTATGGGAAATGTCACCTTTGAATTATTATTATTTTCGTGACCAACGTGCCATTTGTAGTCCAAATCAAAGCAAGCCTATAACTTGGACCGTCTGAGCTACAACCACACTAATCATTAGTTTGAACGGAGTCTTTTGAAGCTAAATATGAAAAATGTATAAGTATAAGCGAACTATACCTGGAATATTTTCTTCAATGAAAACAAAGCTCGTCTTTGATCTCTACCAGTGTTCGACAAAAGTTTTTCTAAAAAAATTTGAGTGAAAAATCATTCTTACATCATTTACGCAAATTATTTACAACCGGTAGAGGACTATAAGTAGCCCAAATGATGTGATCCCACGCTGACATCTGCAACAAAATGCAGCTATGCAGTTACAGACAATACAGATTTGTTGCAGCTTTCCATGCGGGATAGAGCCTGTCGACCATATATAGTCCCCTAACCATTTGCAACTTGATCAATGAGTTTGCACACCGCGCGCGGCAACTCCCGACCCCCTAAGTAATTCGCCAGTGACACTTGCTGCAGTGAGTTAAGCTGTTGAAATGTATAGTGCCACTTGACGCCATTGAATAGAGCTGAATAAGAGCAGAAAACAAGAAAAATCTACGAATGAAAGTCTTTTTGGCCGTACAAATCTCGCGCTGATGTGCAGTCCACAAATCAAGTTACAAATAAATCGACCATACCTATAATAGTTTTCACCCGCAGTGCAACTTGAGTTCTCAACACGAGGCTGTATCGTTTGCTGAAAAATCACAATTGGAACCAATCAAGATTCAATATAGTGGTTGGCTAGTCTTCCTATAACGCATAGTCGAGATATCGCAAACCTGTTTCTCACATCCTCAAATTGTTCAAATTCTCCGATGTCGCTATCTGGCTCGCTCTCGCTACAAAATCCATCGGAACTTATAGGGAAAGTCCCCGGAAAGGACTCGCAAGTTCTGGCGAAGTCCCCCTCGTAACTTGAAGAAAGCTTACGATCCGATCTATAGCCACTATCTTCGCGTTGGTGAGTGACTTCATAAGACGATTCGGTACCAGATCTTGCTTTCCTGACTGTTACTCCTTGATTAGTACCCATCGAATGCATTTTATTGAATGGAAGAGCTTTTCGGGATATTTGCAGCATAGATGGGATAATTTCTTTCTCTGGAAAATGCCTCATATCGGATGAAGTAATGGGTAGCTCGAAATCGTTCGTCAGGCTTTCGTTTTCTAAATCTCGAACCAGTACAGGCTTAGCCACACAGGAGAATAAATCGGACGAAAATTTCTTCTCCAAAAAGTCCCTTTTCTTCGCTAGTGAAGAGTTATTGTGTGACAACCTTGCTGGCTTCGGTGGCGGTACAAGAAGTGGCACTTCTTCATGTGGATTTGATATCACTTGTGCTTGCACAGGGGCAGCAACATGCAATATTGAAGGTTTTCGAAGAAAATTTCTAGGTAGTGTTGACGATTCCAAAACTCCTCCATCAACAGAGCTTGAGTACCATTTACCACGATTATCGTCAATACCATTCAAAGTTCGTCGGCGGCAAATTAGCGGAGCTACATGGTGCGGATGCTTGTTGTTCGAGGAGTCAGAATTCTCAGTAGAAATCGTGTTTGGGATTTCTGCGGCGTATTGTCGCAAAGGTTTAACAATCAACGGCAGATTTATCTTCACATCCGCGCAGGCTTGAGTTCTGGGCTTGTCGGCAGTTTTACCGTAAATCCCCTCGAAATGTTCTCCAGATGTCGGCTTTAGCGAGGAACTTCCAGCTTGAAAGGAAAGGTCTATATCAAACGCTTTGAGAAGCGATCTTTGATCGGTGGATGTAGACTTTTCGATAGAAGAAGTACATTGAGACGAATAGAATCTATTACAGTGCATATCTTCTGACGAACCAATCAAATTGACTACTGGGAAGAAATATGCAAACTTGATCCGTAGACAGTCGACGGCGGTAGGAGAGTGAAACCAATTGCGCGCGATATTGGGAGCCGCGCCCCGTCAAAGGTGAGACGGAAATTTTGCAGAATCAGCGTCGATTCGGAGAGATATGGAGAGAAATTGCAGCTGATACCTCTTACGGAAAATAAATTTGATTTGAACTTGTAGAGCAGAGAATTTCATATTGAAGTAGACCGCAAAGGCTAGGTGCCGCGCAAGCGTGAGAAGAAGGCGAAAGAATAGAAATGGTGCAAGTGAACGTTGACGACAAAACATTTTTTTGATGCCTGTCCGTAAGACGCGAGTATTTGTGAACTTTTAGTATCCAGCGCTTCTGTGGAATAGGCCTTTCCATGAAAAAAA